TTGCATCCCTCACTTCCAGAGTTCATTCAGTTGGTAAAATGTTGGTTAATTGTTATGATCTCATTTTGGTAGTCAAAAAACTCGATATCATATCATCTGGTCTTCGGACATTGCATGGACATACAATCCTTTGAGTGATTTGGACAGTAATGGTTTGATTGTTGTCTTATTTCGACCGATTTCCTTCAAAACTGATGGAAGACGCATCTGATTTCAATGATTTCACCCGTTTTTTACCCCAGCTGATCTCGATGCGTTGTAGGGTTTTTGTCCACTGTTCTGGTTGGACATCTCCACTTCCTTCTCTCCTCACGATCAGTATCTTCAGCAGTCACCTCAAATTCAGCAATGTCCTTCTTGATCGCGTCCTACCAGCCCTTCATAGCAGGACGCGGAGTTAGAGGATCGTATGTTGGGAACGGGTATCGTCCAAACCCTTTATCTAGTCACTAATCCAGTAATCTGGCGCTTGAATGAGTGACAGCTTTTTATATCAAGCCCAATGCTCATGGATCCTTCAGCAAGAAGACGAGTTGAAAGAGAATCTGATTTGTTTTCCCATAAAAGTCAGCGGCTCATGCCCAGGGAAAAGTCGTAATCGGGAGCTATAATGGATATGGTTTCCCTGTTATCTCTGCATGGACGAACGGGGTCAAGGACAGCTTCCATCGAACAGGAACCATATTATAGGGTTTTGACTCCCACTGCAACACTTACATAGTGTGAAATGAAGAGACGCCTTTATACTCCTGGGAATGTGAAGCCTGGAAGCCCTCCACTGATAGTGCTCCACACATCAAATCCTAACGACTTGTCGAGGTTATCGCTGGTCCTGGTTACAACATAACCGATCCGGCACTTGCTTTTGCTCTGGTGCAATATGGAGCCAATCTGGAGATGGAGCAGAAAATGCAAAAACGGCAAAGCCTCGGAGATCCGAACCATCAACCCAGCCTAGTCGTCCCAGTTCGAATTCCACATCGCTATCCACCACACATCCGTCGCTGATAGCAGCCCAACCGTGGAGAGCACATATGAAACTCCCCCGCAATTTTTAACATGCTTCAACATGTGGCTCCCTTTTTTAGCTACCATTCACGTTATTTCCAATGTGCAGTCCACAGGCGCCTTCTACTGTGCGGAGAGTCGACGCCGTGAATGAAACAAACGACGCTTAGTGGGTTAAAACGGCGATTTCTGACAAAATCATTTTCACTCTTTTTCGGCATTCAGAAGGCCATTAAGCGAAAATGGACCATAGTTCTATACGCAGCGCTCATGCCCCTATACCATGAAAAAGCCCGTTTCGAAAAAGCGTCCCACGCCCTGAAAGACCTTCTTTGTCAGAACCCTCAACTTTCCAGACAACCCAATATTTACTTTTGAAGCAGCCCCCTTTCCAGCGCACGCCCCGCCCATCGCGGGTGGAGCTTTGCTATGTTCACGCACGCTCAGTACGAGCGAGGCCCTGCCACTCCATTCAATTTTTCTGACTTTCACACCTCCGTTGAATCGAATTGTTCCACGCCCTGAGAAACCTTCCTTATTAGGCATCCAGGCCTTCTAGAGCTCGCTTTTTTTGCCAACGCTTACACGCTGTTTGTACTGTTTTAATATTGGTTGGACTTCAACGTGCTGCAATCACGCTGCCTTGGCTCCTCTGAATTCACCTCGAGTCTTCCCAAACTCTTTCCTTACACGCTGTAGGATAGTCCATATAGTTCCTCTATGTTCGCTGGATCGATTTTTGGAAATCTCGGGAACCAACTTCAGGCATCTCTCTCGTTTTGGATCTTACCTCTGGCCAACTTCTCACGACTCCCTTGTCCGTTCTTGTCATTGCTTCCTTGGGAAAGGCTTGCTCCAACAGCGAAGCCAGAGTTCTCGAGGGACACGATCCATGCTGAAGTCAAGTCATTTCGTTTGATGTCTTCTTCGTTGTAGTAAAGACACTACGTCGTAGCACTCTCCCAAGTTTTCTTGGCTTTTGCTGCACTGTATCATATTTTCTGAAGGTACACGACTTGGTTGTTCCTGCGCTTCGTCAGAATGGCAACCTCTCGAAGCTTCCCGGTAAGCAACCCGACTCTTGTAGTACCAATTCGAACTAACTTCCTCGGTCGCGAACTGCATCATTGTTGCGGGTTTCGCAGGGCATAGTTTTGATACTACAAAAACTAAGCTCATGAACTTCCTGAGAACAGGCGTGAGCCAACAATCTTAACCCGTCGGCTACCCCAGCTTCCGAGGTGACTGAAGATGCGGACAGAAATTCCCAGTAGGCACCCAAAACAGCTCACAAAACGAAAATCATTGTCTAATGATCTGAAGTTTTGCGAATAAATGAGCCTAAAGATATACAAAAATTCAAATTAGCGGATAAGATGGAAAGGATCCAGTCGCAAAGGGTGGGGCTATGCGAAGCAAGTGAATCAATTGTTACCGACGATGTCCCCGAAGTGAAAAAAAGACACACTAAAACGCTTTTGAAGCAGAGGATCAAATGAGATGGTGTCCGCAGAAGGGAGAGGAGTTCAATTCTGCATTACTCCGACAGCTCGTCGGAAATGACAGTGCTAATGCTCGAAATAGGTGAGAGTTGAAATGCTTTGGTTTTCTAAGTTTTATGTCGATGTAATGACTGAATCAACTTAATTTTAACCGAAGTAGTTATAGTCGCTTATAACGTAGAAGACCGGAAACCCCACATTGCAAGATTACACGTATGGGGATGGGGTTTCAGAGCATAACATGTTTTCTACTGGAAACAACTGTTTGTAAATACACGCCGGGACGTTGTTTCATATCTATGTCGAAGGAGGCTCAACTATGGGTCCGGGAACTTCTCCCTTGACACGGCGTCGCACACGCCGCACCCGCCGCGTATCGCAGGACTGCGATGGAAGGTTGGAACGCGCAATTTGTGAGGTAGAAAGTCCTTTAATTATTTGAATTGGCTGGCCGCTTTCTTCAGTTTCAATGCAGTCTTGATCGCCGCTTACATAAGAGGAGTCATTTCAATTAATCAAGTCTAATAAACATGAAGACGAATAAGAAACAGAAGAAAAAACGATTAAATCCAATAAAAAGCAACGCAATCAACGAAAAATATCGCGTCCTATCGATTGGTGGGGAAGCGAAGTGAGTACGGTAGTTGCAGTGACATTTGCCGCATGCCGCAAGGGAGAATGCCGCGATAGGGGAGAAGTTCCGTTACCCCTCAACTATACAGGTTGGCGAAAAACTACGTACGCGCGACACTTGACTCCGTTTTGATTTTTGTATAGAGCATTTGTTCATTTAAGTTGTTGTTACTTACTAATGGTTTAGAGAGAAAAAATGTGCCCCAGGTTTCGAAAAAGATCTTCCTATGTCGCGAGGCAACGCACAGTCAACAGAGTGAGATCAGGAGCTCAGCAATATTTTCGAGACTCGCAATTCCTCTTAGAACCGTCAAGAATGTTGCAAAAGCAATGGAAAGTTTGATTAGACCCCAGAAGCGGACGAAAAGGGACTGGTAATACCCGGCAGATGCGTGAGATTATTAAGTAAAGGGACCGTCGAAACGATTATTTGAGCTTAACCGAAATGACCAAACAGCTCAATGATGTCCATGTGCGACTGTCGATGAATTTCGGCATTCTTCCTTTAGTTTGAAAATGACTCTTTAAGCTGTACTCTTTGAGCTCAATGATGGTCGCGAATCTGATCGACTGGTAGTGAAAAAAGACCCACGGCATCAAGGTTATCGTCTCTTTTCGGGCGAAATCTCGCCTATTCAGCACAGCAAATTTGAAAGAAAGAGTGAAATCACGAGAATTTCTCAAAGTGTGGCGAATTGAGAACTTTCTTTAGTCTCACGAATAAGTTTGCACCAGTAGATTTATTAAAAATTCTCAACCGCCAATTTCTCAGCACAGCTCTCAGGATCGAATGCAAGTGAAAAATTGCCACAAGAAGTCTGTTTCTGCACGCTCAATGATTTGGGGCGGCACCAGCGCCTCAGGCAGACACCTTTGATTTTTATCGGTTTAAAGTGAGGAATAATGCAAAGTTCTACCGAGAGATTTTCACGAAAGCTTTGCTGCACTAGAAGTGGGAACATCCTAATTTTATTATATCTTCCAGGTAGGCTGGGTTCCAGCTGATGGAGCCTAAGCAAAGAACCTGAAGACCAGACTGGGCTATGTCATGAAGCAAGATTTGGGCCCTGCGAAAAGCCCTACTCTGAATCTATAAGATTTCTCTGTGTGGCGATTCAGGGAGCAATTTAGGAATCGAAATAATACAACAAAACTATGACTTCGCTCAGAGAATCATAATCATTACTATTTATAAATCACAAGTTTGCTGTGCCCGTCTGTTGTCTGTTTGTCTGTTACAAAATTCGGTATCATCGAAGAAGCGTCTGTAGAGGTTGGGTCAAGTCTGGAATGGGCTGAGCCTAGGGTAAAACCAACAGGGCACATATGAGCCCAGCGGGACCCCGCCTACAGAGGACGAGACATGCATCGGATTGGGTATGCTTAAAGCGAAACTACTTATTCTGCCTTGCGAGAAGCCCAGGCTCCAGGAAGAGATGAGCAATTGTTAGGAGTGAGTTAGCAAATCATATGTAGGGGACCCACGTGTTGTGGTCGGAGTGTGCTCAATTTGTGCAGTACACTTCCCATGAGTTCATATTTCGCTTCAACGATGTCGAGGAGGCCAGAAAAAAATAGGAGTTACCAAGACCTAGTATATGCTGGGCTTGCGTAACCCTGGAAAAAATCCCGCCTACGATGGGTGGGGTGCGTTCAAATGAAAGATGCTTTTCGAAAAAATACATAGGTCATCAAAAACGTTTCAGAACGCGGGTAAAAAGTCGTCCGGTACCATTGGAGAAATGTGGTCGAATCCCTGTTATGGACGGAATTTTCACTGGGGTGCGCGTGGCTAAAATCAAAAATCCATCGAAAAGGTTTTAGAACGCGGGAGAAAGTAGTTGGAGGACGTAGAAAAGTTTGGTAAATCCTCGATGGCTTTTGAAGATGGCTGATTAAGATGTCATTGTACTATCAGTACTGCGGATTTTGCAGTTTTCTTTTCAGAAGCTCAATTCATTTTATTAACCTTTAACCAACAAGTGCACTGGCGAAATTGTGTTGTGACAACTTCTGGCTTTCAATAAAGTCGGCCACGTTTCTCTTGAATATGAAGTATAAAGCTACTTCCACCCGGATCCCCCACCCCTTTGAACTCAGGAATAATCTGTTCCGATTATGAATGGCTTTGTTTTTACTCGACCTTTAATCCAAATAACTTGATAAACATCATAATGTAAAACGAATTTTTAGTGTGCTGATGAGGAAATAAAAATGTTGAAAAAGGAGAAGAGAAATATAGAGCGAGAGAATGAGGCACTGTCATTCATGATTGAAGAAGCTGAAACTGTCAGAAAGGAAGGTATTGAGACGGTTTTATTCATATTTCATACCGCTTCAGTCAAACTGTGTGTTTTTTTTCAATAAGCACGGTGCTGTTTGTGCAAAAAATCTGATGTTGTCTTTGTAAGAATCAGGTGGTTCTGGAGGCTGGTCGGATTTTGGAGACGACATCATTGAGCAAATGATGAACGATGATAGTGATCAGCGAGAGAAAACCTCAGCTTCTTCAAGAGGTGCTATTCCTGTGGCCTCTTTCACGCCTGCAATTGATATTCGTGAAGTCACCAAACTGAGGATTCAGCTGAGGAAGACCGAACACGAACTGGAGGCCATTCGGTGTGTTGTCCTGTAGCCAAAGGAGTAAGCTCATTATTGAAATTATGGCACAATGATTCGTCTCAAGTGAAAACACAGTACGCGATGGAAATTCTTCTTTATTCTTGTGAGGTGAATATGGGGTCCACCAGCATACCATACGCGGCGCATTAGATTGGAAAAGACTAAAATAAGGCATCATGAGGCCTTAAAGACTGTAGCGACTGTATACCATACTCTAAAGCGGAAGGTTCAGCTGCACTGAGGCCACACTATTCACAAGGGGCACCCATGGAGAAATCAAACTAGACGTGATACATGGCGACAGCAGTTGCTACATTCTTGGCCTTATGTAGGCAGCTCTCTACATAGCTGCAGCAACGGAAATCCCGTCCAAATACCCTTCATAAGCCATTTTTTGTGGTACTCCCGTTCAACCTCTATTCCCACTGCATTTGGAAAGCCATATTCCTTGCTAACTTGGCGAATTTACTCAAACTCTTCACCACTGGTGCAATATTCCCCATCAACCTTTACGATTTTCAACTTGGAAAGGGTATCTCGATATTATCGTGAACTGTGCCTTTAATTGTGTTCTTTCGCGCACTGCGGCAAAATGACAGACGTTAACAAGAACATTGAGTCAAAACGTGCTATGCTCTCTCCTTTGGCTGTCCTACGTTTTATCATTTTCGTAAGAATGATGCAGCTCTGCGGTACTATGAACTGTAATGTTTCTTGAAGTACCTTTTTCAGTGTCGCTCTTGAGTACGAGAAAGAGGAGCGTCATCAAGCTATTTCAAAACTGTCTTCTCTCGAAAACGATTTGGAGCGAAGAGCTAAAGAGGCATTTTTTTGTAATAAAAACTTCACATTCACTCCGACACTTCACTGATTAGCTTCAATTCCTGCCCGTATCGATCGATTTATACCGGCAAATAGCTATTTGCTGTTCAGACGAATGTTGAATGTGAATGTTCGACCTCTCTTCTATTGCTCGCCCCTATACAATTCTTGTCATACTCCCGACCGCCTTTAAACCTGAATGCGGATTTTTACCTGGTCTACGCCCACTTTGGAACTTGGCCGACCTATGGTTATGTTCTCTACCTTTGCTAATGCCAACATGTGTTCTCATTTGGCTCGACATTGCACATTTGGTGAACAATCCAAGTAATGAGTTATCAGTTAAGTGGCTCGAACCCTACTTACAAGCAAACCAACTTGACAACGGTGACGTACACACTACGTGCACTTCCGACCCGCCATGAGCGGAGTTCAGCTTGAATAATTATTCTAACTTACATATATGAGTACTTCAACCCGGATGACGACCATTCTGCGCATGCTGCGCTTCTCGTGGTCAAACTTCGTCCTTGTTCCTAATTTGAATGCGCTAGATAGAAGGAACAGGAACTATGAATTTCCACCGCATACTTACATATATACACATACAGTAGCGCTCCAATGACTTCGGCCAAACGCTCTTACGCTTTTTCGTTCATAACTTTTTT